AAACGAATCTCTGAATCTCCGGGAACAGAAAGCAGATCAGTGGCTGCTGGGCCCCGGGGAAGAGGGAGGGAGCACGAGGGAGCTTTGGGGGATGATGGAAATAGTCTGTATCTCAACTGTGGGGCTGCCTTCTGGGGTGTGTACCCCTGCCAAACTCACCAAAGTGTGCACTTTATATGGACGCAGTTTTTTTGTATGGAAATTGTACCTCAATTAATTTAATTAAAAAAATAAAATTCAAATGCATCAAGGGGTGCCTTTTAGGAGTTTTTAAAAGAAAGGCATAAAAATTGTGACAGAATGAGTTTCCCCTCCCTTTGCCTGGAATTACATTAAACTTATAGATGAATTCGAGGGGAATGACCATGTCAGTAGCAAGTTTTCCCATTTAGGGACGTAGTGGGTCATTGTCTCTGCCCTGGGACAGTCCAAGCAGCATGATTATTACCCTGTCCTTAAGGATTTGGTAGTTTACCCAGAACATAATCGAGGCTGGGTGCTGGGGAGGGGGTGCTTTGACTGTTCCTAACAAGAGTGGGTTTGGGATCCCCACGTGGGCTGTTCCCAGTCACCACCTAGTTTTTTACCACTTTCTGAATAATCTCAAGGTTGCTGGTCTCCGTTCAGTTTTAGGTTATGCACTTTTTTTAGGCAAAAATTTACAAGCACAGGCCTTTCAGCGAATGCTGCAGGTGGCCGCCCCGTCTCTGCTCGCCGTGTCTGAGTCCACCTGCGGCTGTGGTGGACACTTCCAAACCAGCGGCAGTGTAGGCGCATCCCTGCTCTCCAGAATGAAGCGTCTTCCTGCACCTCGGAAGTTGGCTTAGCCTGCTGGCAGGGCCGCGAAGGTGTCGAAGGTGTCGGGGAGTGAGCATCGCAAGGACGACTCTCCACCATGAGGGAAGAAGGTGGGGATCCCAGCCCCCCATGTCTCAATGGGGCGATTTGGACATATTCCACATGATAGCTCAGACGGCCTCCTGGGAGGGGGTAAGCCATCGTTTATGACCCCCTTTCCCCCCACTCTCCCTCCCTCCTGCTTCCTGAAACCACCTCCCAAATAAATGGCCTGCACCCGAGTCCTGTCTCAGGGTCTGCTGCATGCTATGGTATTATTTTACTATGTTTACAAGAAAACATACACAAAATATACACATCTTAAAAGGATAAGATAGAGATAAAATAAACAATATTTAAAATAGCTTATTTATTAACAACACAATCTTTTTGCTCTCACCCAAATATTAATTATGAAATTCTTAGTGAGAGGCAATGTGATTAAACGTGCTTCATTATTTTTGAAAATCTTGATTAACACTTTGTGATGCACAATTTGGAAGCCTTGTTCTGAGTTCCTTTCCTCTTGATCCTTGGTCTAATGGTTTTGAGAAGTAAAAAGGTACTTCAGGAAAGATGCAGAGAAGGGGCCTCCCTAACCCCGTGCTCACGCTTCAGGCCTGTCCAGCAGCTCCGCGGGGGCTCCGCTACAGCCTGGCCCACAGACGCCGGTCTTCCCTGACGTGAGCCCACGTTCTTGCCCCCTGATTGGAAAGAGTTGCATTTTTATGTTTTCAACGAATAGGATCAGTACCCCCGGAAATTACGCATTTTGGAAGACTTTAGTCTAGTTAGACAGCTGTAATAGTTGCCAAAACTCATGGTACTGCCCCGTTGACATGGGTGTCTTGAAGGTCATTTGATGCTGCTTTTTGGTAACTGAAGAGTCCAGGTAACTGGACAGTGCCCTGATGGCTAACTGACAAGTTTCAGGACGTTCCCGGGGGTCCTTGGGGCCAAAGTCCCCAGGAAAATCCAGGCAGTTACCTTGACGGTTCTCTCCTGTCTTGAGTGAAGCAGTTCTGCTTTGGGGCTCGGGAGGCCTTGCCAAGCAGAAGTGAGGCTGGGCCACTGGAGGAGCCCAGGGCAGAAATAAATCATCTGGCAGGTGTGTCTCCAGCACAGACGCTTCCTTTCTGCCATGTCGGCCTGGCCTGACCCTGGGCCCTGCCTCCCCTTCCCAGGTCTGCCGAGGCCCTCAGCGGGGAGAGGCCGAGTGCCTGGGCAGGGACACTGTAGCGCCATGGCTGCAGGCATGGGCTCTCTAGCCCCAAATGCAGCCCTGCAGGTGGCACCTCCTCTCCCTACCTCCCCCACCTCCTCCTCCTCAGCCTCCTGGCAGGGAAAAGTGAGCCCTCCTTGCGGCTCCAGTGAAGCCTGAGGAAATGGAGAGCCGCCCCAGCTTCAGAAGAAGCTTGCTGGACCCGAAATGGCACCCTGGTCTCAGCAGTGTGGGCTCTCTTCTTCTCGACACAAATGAGAGCATCATCCCAGGCCTGACTGCCCACAGGAGGAAGACAGACCGTGGTCCACCCATCAGCTTTGGACTGTGGAGGCAGAAAGAGCTGGTCCACGTTGTCTAAACCTCACGGGGTAGCCATCAGTAGTCCATTTCACGGATGAGGGCATGGAGGCTAAGTTGCTCACCTGAAACCCACAGCAGCTGTGCCTCCTAGAGGAGCCCAGTTGTCGGGGGAGGACACACCAGAATAATGCAATGACGGGATGGACTCAAAATTGCCTGAAAAGGCACGTGGGACTTCTGGCAACCGGGAGACACGCATTAAATCAGCCGCCAGCTACTCCGTCACACCCCTGAGACAAGAAAACACGCAAGTCTAATAATACCAAGTGCTGGCGAGGAGGCAGGGGACCCTCACGCCCGATGGTGGGCGCAGACGTTTGGCACTGAAGAGCAAAGCTGAAGACGCCGCTGCCCCTCCGGTATACACACTAGAAACGCCTACGCGTGTGTCCACGGACGCCCACAGGGCATTCACTAACTGGGAGTCATCTAAATGCCCATCACTAGGCAATGGATATACTGCATCTACTATCTGCTACTTTTTGCTTCTTTAAAAAAAAATGAGGCAAAAATGTTAACTGATATTTATCATTTTTGCATTATTATCTGATTTTTAAAATTATTCAAAAGTACATGCGGTACTTTACGAAGGTCCAACTTAGCCTGGTTGGAATTGTCAGCAGCTCAGGAACATCTGCCTCACGCTGACCCAAAGCGAAGTCTCAACCAGAGCCTGTTTGGGAGCCTGAGGGGGCCCCAGAGCCCGGGGAAGTTTTCGGAGTCTGGGGGTGTCCTGCCACCAACCCTTCCTGACGGCGCCAGGAGGCTGAAAGGAACGGCCGGCTCCTGCTGCCCTGGGGGGGCTCATGGCATGATGGGGACCTGAGTCACAGGCCTGCGCCCGGGTCCAGGGCGTCGCCTACCCCCTGCTGACTAGAAGTGCAGGGCTTGAAGAGCACTGCCCTGTCCGGTGAGGACTCCCACGGCTGTGCTGCGGGATCCCCCGCTCATCTCTGGCTGAGGTTTGCAGCTTCCGCTAAACTCTTGTTTTCAACTCTGCATCTGCAGTGGAGGCCTCTGTCTCTGCTGGCGCCTCCACCCAAAAGTGGATGCAGCCTCTGCTCCTGGATGTCCCTTCCCACTCCAAGGCACAGAAAGCAAAGGGCATGAGAAGTCCACAAGAACAGGCCTCGAAACACGGAGAGATCCAACTGAGCAGGAAGAAACCAGGGCGGGTTTCATGGAGGAAGTGGCAGTGGAGCTGGGCCTTGCAGAAGGAATTGCCAAAAGATGGAGAATTCCAGGGCCAGCCTGGTGGCATAGTGGTTAAGTTCACATGCTCTGCTTTGGCAGCCTGGGGGTCTCAGGTTCAGATCCCAGGCATGGACATAGCAGCAATTGTCAGGCTACACTGTGGTGGCATCCCACATAAAATAGAGGAAGATTGGCACAGATGTTAGCTCAGCCACCATCTTCCTCACCAAAAAAAAAAATATGGAGAATCCCAGAGGGTGTGGAATGTTATGGGGCGGGGCCTCACAAATTGAGGGGTGCAGCTGGAGCAGGGGAGATAAAGCTGCTGAGGTACGCTGGGGCTAGACAGTAGAAAGCCATGAATGTCAGGCAAGAAAGAAATTCTTGCCGGAAGGACCTTGTGTTTTCGGTACTAGTGTGGCATGTGAACGTGCTAGAACGTATCAGGCCCTGTGCATCTGTGACCACTCATCAAGCCACGTGCTGGGCCACGGACCCCAGGATGATGCTCAGCGTGTGCACCACACCCCACCTCTCCTGCAGGGTGACCACATTCGCTCCACTTGCCATCCCTCCCTGATCACAAAGGGCACCCGGGGTGAAGACATGGCCCTGGTGGTCCTTCGGGAGCCCATCCAGATTTCTCTCCAGCTCCCGTCTCCAGTTGTCAGAGCTGCAGAAGCCGGAAGGCCATGCCCACCACTGAGCCCCCACCTGCTCCATGCTCAGGTCGTCTCTGCAGGTCTGGAGTGTGTCTCTCTGTTTCTCTCCTCTCTACTAGCCATGACTCTTTTGGTTGCAGGTGACAGAAAACATAACTCAAACTAGCTAAAAGGGAAGACAAGAGGGGATTTATCAGCTCAGGTAACTGAACAGTTCCAGGCCCAGCTGGATTTAGGAGCCTAGCCGATGTCATCAGGGCTTGCCCTCCTGTCCTCTGTGCTGGCTTCGGTCTTAGGCACCCTCTCTCGGTGTTGTGGCCCCAACCTCTCCTCCCAGGACACCCCAGCAGAAGAGGGCTTCTCTTTCCTTATAGTTCCAGCAAAGACCCCAGGACAACATGCTGGTCACCTGAGCCAGTCGCAGGAACTCAGGGATGGAGCACGCTGCTGGGAGGCCTGGCTCCCATGCCCACTGTGAGCCCAGGGAGTGGAGCAGCCCCTCAACCTTAGAGCCTGAAAGTAGGGGCAGAGGGACTCCTCCAAGGAAACGGAAGGGCCATTATCAGATATAGGAGCATGCATGATGTACAGGAAACACAATACAGTTTCTGCTTTGTTTCTGTGCTCCCCGAACTTAGGGAGTGTCCAGCACAGGCCCTGGCACGCATTCATCCTTGGTAAACGTTTATAGGACGGATGGGTGGGTGGGTGGGAGGGTGGGACTGACGTTCCTCCTTCCTCTGGCGTTCCACTTGGGACGTTTGGCCAGAGCTGGTTGTAGTGCTACAGGTCCGCGTCTCCCCGGAGCAGAGGTTTCAGCATGTGCGGCGGGAGTGCAGCTTCCTGTCAAGAGGACTCAAGAGGGGAAAGAGGAGGCCTGGAGTGGACACCAGAAAAGGACAATGGCCAATAAAGTGAGCTATCAGCCTGACAACCTCCTCCATTAAGGGGGGCCCTGGGAGCTAGCCCGTGGTGAAACTGCCGACCTGGCAGGCATGGATGATGTGGATGTCCAGGACCATGCAGCCAGAGGTAGCTGGCTTGAAATGAAGCAGGGGATGAACTCTGCAGGGGGGAATCCCCAGATCCAGGGCTGCCCACTGTCTTTGGTCCCACTCCCAGGCCTGGAATCTTCCACCAAGGCTCCTCCCAGGCCAAGGCCCAGGCTTCCCTGGAGACTTCCGCCCCATTTCCTGAAGCCTCACCTCTGGGAGGAGGAGGAAGTCCACCAGGCAGCAACTCCTCTGCCTCCTCCTGTCCGCCTTTGCCCCGGGGGAAGGGAGGGAGACACTGCGGACAGCAAACCCCCGACCCAGAGAACTCCATCCCCGCTCCGTCGCCTCTTCTGGGGCCTAGAGACCCAGACCTGCCTTTCCACCAGTCAGAAAACAAAAGATGAAAAAAGTCTGGATGCAAGAGTGAAATACTGGGTCATGAATATGGTAAGTCATCTTATTAGAATTTGCTGATTGATTGATTATAGACTGGCTAATCTCCTGGATTTCAAGGTACCCAAAGAATATGTGAAAACTTGTGAATTCTCGTCAAATCTTGTAGGACACTGCCTAACTTGTTTTCTTTAAAGTGACTTACCCAATACTTTTTGGCTTTAAATTCTATATGAATATTTCATAAATATCCCATACATTTAATATTTTAACAATTTTCCATCATGTCTGTGGTACTTTAGTACCTGACTTGTATATTTATGTGACTATTGTTAGAAGTGACTAATTGGGTTTGATTAGCTCCATCATTAATATTCTGTCCATAATTTAACATGCTTCAATAAAATACCCTAAAGCAGTGTAATGATTAGATTTCAGGAATATGTGTTTTGCAATTAAGTTCCTCTTGATTTTGATATGCAGATGAAGAAATAGTGGTCTCATTTAAAAAAAAAAACTGCCCTTATTAACTCAGCAGTATACTCTGAAGATTAGGTAAGAAATCCAAGATTTTCTCTTTGTATATGCTAGTTAAAATGTATTTCAATCAAGCCTATGTTGGGCAAATCAGATTTGATTAGTTTAAGTTCACAGTCATTCTATCTAAATGAATAATGTGTCACCTAACATTGCAAAAATTTGATTAATAGTTTATCAGTTAATTAAAAATGAGGTTTAATTTTTCTTTTTTAGGAAAATGCAAGGTAGATATTCCTTGTGTTCATCATAAATGCAAATTATTTCAGCTTGAATCTATTGTTCCTTTTCTGCTTCTTAGCCAACTGGCAAGAAAAATAAAGCTCTTAGAAATATGTGGGAGGGCGGGAGGAGTGGCGAACTTTCTCTGCTCCCGCCGCGGCTGTGGCTCAGCTCGTGCCCTGGCCTTCGCTTCTCCAAGAATCTCACCCCCTGAACTCACCCTTCTCTCCTACGCTCTGCTCCCCCTGCGGCCTTTGCCCACGAGACTTTTCCAGATGACAACTTTCGTCACCTTGTTCAGTTCAGCTCATCTTTGGGGCGGCAGCAGGCGGCCCAGGGCCCCCTTTCTGCAGGAACCCGAGCCCGACTCGGGAGCTGAAGGGGCCCAGCAGCGATCCCCGCCCTCCTTGGGGCAGGTTATCCACGAACAGTGATTAGAACACTAGGGTGCCTCCCCTGGGACCACGGATTCATCACTGAAAGGCTGCTGGGCAGACTGGCCACAGGGCCGGTTCTTCCAGGTCCTGTTAGCAGGGTCGCACGGTGAGGCAGAGAAGAGAAGGGAGCCAGTCCCGAGCAGGTGAATGAGCAGGTCCTGCTGCAGGCAGCCCCACTGCGGGACCCGGGACACAGTGCAGCCCCGGCCTCGGCCCATCCTAAGGGTAAGGGCGCTGAGCTCCTCACCGCCCATCTTGTCCTGTCACTGACCGAAGGCTGTTCCCAGGGCCTTGGCTCCTGGCACCTCCCGCCCGTCCTGCATACAGGCAGAGCAGGCCCCCACGGCCAGAGCTGTCCCTCAAGCAGGGAGCCAGGCTGCATGAAGGGAAGGGTGAATGCTGAGGGGGCAGCGGCATGGGAGCCCTGGGGCCCCCCACAGTGGGTCCTGTGCTAATGGGGCAGCCCTCTCCACTCTCCTGAATTCACTCTTAGCTTTCTGAGGCCCCTCGCTGTCCTCAGTGTTTATTGAAAACAACAAATGCTCACCGGGAACCAGGCCTGCCCCAGGCACATTGCAGGGGAACCAGACTGACCAGGCCCCACCGTCAGGTCTGGCACCCTAGGGGCAGGTGTGGGAAGGGCTATGAGAGGGGGTCTGGGTGGTCAGAGAGGGCTTTTCAGAGGAGGTGACCTTGAGCTGAAGGGGGCGAAGCAGCCTGCGTGTCAAGCTCTGGGAGAAGGACCTTCCAGGCACAGAGAAGAGCAGGCACCAGGGCTCCAAGGCCAGAGCAAGTTTGGAGTGTGGGTGTCGAGAGAAAGTCTCTGTGGCCAGAGCGAGGGGAAGGAGCGGAGCAGAGTGGAAGTGACGTTGGGAAGGGAGGCAGGGGCTCTTAGCACTGCCCGCCCCAGAGTCACCATGGAGCACCCCCACACAGGGAAACCACAGTTGCCCGGACAGCCCCTGAGTGGCCTGGGCCAGGCCCGTGGCTCAGGGCTCACAGCTCCTGCGGTCAATCGCACGTGTGCTCGAGATTGGGAGCCTCTCAGCTGGACCAAAGGCCACCTGGCACTCAGTCTGCTCTGCTCACAGGTCAGCTCCAGGTCCCAGAGTGATGGGTCGGGGAGACCGTAGGCGTCCCTGCCAGCTCAGTGCTGTTTCACAGAGCCGTTTGGCCCCACGCGCCTGGAGCCGGGCATGTGGGGCGGATGGAAGTGATGAAGCCCCAGCAGGGGCGTGGCCACAGCTGTACTTGGTTAAAGCAGGCTGGATTTGGAGTGAAATCTTGTTCCGTCTGACTCAGCTTCACTCCTATCTGGCCAAAGAGGATCTCAGTCCCTGCTGTCATCTCCCAAGCTGGGACTTCTGTCATGGCCACACGGGACAGCCAACTCTCTTGACCTTGATCCCCTGCTCGGGACCCTCTGGGAGCAGCCCCTGGCCTGGGTTCAGGCTGTGCAGTCAGCCTGCAGTCAGATGTGCCTCTGAGGTGTGCCCGGACCAGGGCCCTGAAGGGTGCTGCGTGTGCCGTTGTTCTGGAGTGGAGGAAGCCACAGGTGCCAGCACTCCAGGGCCCCTCCCAGGTGGCAGTCACGCACAGCCGGGGTTGGGAAAGCCAGGAGCCGAGTGGGAGTCATGGGAGGGAGGTAATCAGCTGCTTCCAGGCCGGGCCCCAGAGACATTTGTACGGCAGGCCAGCCACAGAGGACACCCAGGCCCCAAGGAGTCGAGGAGAGAGCCAGCCGGGAGCGGGTTTAGAAGCTGGAGCTTCCTGCCACCACGGGAGCCGTCAATGGCTAGATCTGTAAACCTGAACTCCTGCCACTGAGTCCCAGGGAGCATGGGGACACGCCTAGGGTTGAGACTCTCAGAGTCATTTTAGCTTCAATTCTTCTCAATCCATCTCCACCAGCTCTTGGACAGCCCTAGGGCCATCGGGGAGGAGGGGCTGCGTCCCAAGGAGGCCAGTCTAGCAAGAAGGTCTGGGCACGCCTGACACACTGCCACCACCCCACGGCCTGGCCACACACACCTGTGCAGGGCAGCCTGCCTGCCTTCTCTTGCGGCCACCCAGGCCAGCCTCACAGAGCACCAAGGAGCCGCAGATGCACAGGCTGGGCAGACGCCTTGCAAAGGCTCCCCCGCCCTTCGTCCCTGCCTCTGCCTAGGCCTGGATACCTCCCCACCTAATGCCTCAAGGCAGGCCCGATGGGGCAGGCCAGGGCAGGGGAAGGAGAAGCCGTCACCCAGGCCACTCCTCCGTTCCCGATGAACATCAAGTGCAGACTGTTGTCACCGTGTCCGGTGAGGGTTTTGAGGGAGTCTCTGTGTGTCTGTTTAAAAGCATTCACTTGCTTTATGTAAATGTATTCAGTTTACCCTAATTTGCGTAACCTTGCTTTGGCATTTTTTCATGATTTAATTGCCTGAAAGCTTCAAACAGTGGAATTGAGTCAGGCTTCTCCTAACACTGAGGAGCCAGGTCTCCAGGGCGGGGCTGTGCCTCGGGAACACCCCTTGCTGGAAAGAATGCTGAGTGTCCAGGGCTCTGTGGAGGGGACAATCATGAGGCCAGCATTATGGGACACCAGGCTCCTGGTGTCCATGCTTTTCTATGGCCCAGCCAACTCTCGTGAACTTCCCAAGTCCTCACAAAAACCTGACGAGGTAGGGGCTTTTCATATTATCCCCACTTTACAGATGAGGAAACTGAGGTACAAAGAGGTCAAGAAGCTCCATTGAGGTCATACAGCTAGCAGTGGGCAGAGGCAAGATTCAAGCGCGGGCAGTCTGTTCCAATCCACATGCTCATCATCACTGCTTTCCCACCTCTGCAGTCACAGCAACAGCCTCTCCCTATATCCAGGCCCCCGTGGAGACGTTCGCATCCAGCAAGCAGGGAAGGAACCCTGTTCCATCTTATTGACGAGCAAACAGAAGCAAAGAGACTTCCCAGTGTCCCTTCGTAAGGATGTGGTAGGGCCAGGCCCAGGTCCCTCTCTGGGGTCCTGTCCCCCGCCCTGTGATGGCTGATGCCTCATTTCCCAGCGTGCAGCAAAGGCCCATAAATACTCAAGGGCCAGACTTCCCTGCTGTTGGGAAGATGAGAGGAAACAAACTGTCAGTGTGGTTTTTTTTAAAAAAAGAAGGCTCTCTAAAACTCACTAGGAACAAACTCTAATGACATCATCTTGCAGGCAAGTTCAGGGAGGGCTCTGAGCATGTTGCAAGCCAGGACTCCATGCTGCCGGTGGTGTGTGAGTGTCCACGTGTGACTGTGCTTTTCAGAGCAAGTTTTCCTGTTTGAAAACACTATCAAGAAACTCCAAATGTCAGTGTCTAGACATTTAGAATTTGGACTACTTCTGCTTAAAAGGAGCTATCCGGAAAGATGGCAGAGACTGGACCAGTTTATCTTTGGGGAATGGGACTGGACCAACATTAGAATCTCTAGACTTACAATCAGAACTTCACCCCCAACTCTGGGGCCATGGCTGGGGCAGGGCTACCTGTCCCCTGCAGGGACCCCGCCCCCATCGGCAGCCTAGCTAACGCAGCCTTTTCGGGCATCTGGAATTCTGGGGGCCAGCACATCTGCAGGCATGGATCTGCACCTGAGAACTGCTAAATTCTCATCTACGGGCTGGCCATGGGGACAGAGTGCTGACCCCGAGCCCCTGCAGTCTCCAGGCTCCACATAACCGGGCTAGAGACGGCTGCTTAAGGAAGGGCCACACTGCACAACAAGGGCCCAGAGGACACCGTGTGAGCATCTGAGGGCAGCCTTAGTCCTGCATCTGTGGCTCGAGGCGAGCAGGTGGGGCTCCCCGTCCTGGCTGGTCCCTACGATTAAGTAAGGCCCCTTTCTCCCTGCGGCAGGGCAAGTGCCGCCATGGGAGGGAGGCAGGGGTTTGGGGGAAAGTTAGCAAAATGGTTGGTATTTCTGCAAACGTTGATTGAATTCCAATTAATCATTCACACATCATTCAATAAATGCCTTTTGGAGCACCAAGAATGCACAAGGCCCGGTGCTGAGCCCTCAGTGGGGAGGCAGGATGGGGTGAGCATCCAGAGGGCCCAGGTCCCCGCCCTCCGAGAAGCATGACCGGGCTGGGCGGGCAGAGAGCTCTGCTGCCTGCTTTACCAGAGGCCACGGGCTGCCTAGGCGGCAAGGAGCCCTCTGCCCCGGGCTCTGGGCGGCCACACGGAAGACCGGCACTGGGGTGACGTGTTCCTCCTGGCCTGCCCAGCCCTGGGTCACATGCTCCTCCAACTCTCCTGGGGTCTTGTCAGGTGCAGGGAGGGACTCGGGAGAGGGTTAGGGGACTGCCCACGCCACTCACCCCCAAGTGGTGAAGCTGAGGATTGCCCCAATGCCCAATGCCCTGCGCTGCGCCTCTGGCTAGACCCAGCCGAGGTTTGCGGCTCCTGGGGCCAGCGGTCAGTTGTGAATGACACAGGGACAACTGAGGTGGACTTGGGATGAAAACGTCATTCCTTTTTGGATGGCGCCATGCTGGGTTGGTGCCAAAGAGTCCACGGGCTACCCTGCCACTCCCACCCCCAGGCCTGAAGTTGGGCATGGAACATGGGAACTTTGACACTGCGTAGACACTACCTAAACACTCGTAAGCCATTTCCTGCGGGTGACTATGAGCATTATTAGTCACCTGCCATGCAGCGCAGCCCTGTGCCAAATGATGTGGGACAGGCGAGAAACATCACAGCCCGTCTCTGCCCACAAAGCTAACTTTCTGTTTGGGAAGTCAGGGCCAGAGGGCAAGCAGGAGATGACCAGGCAGTGGACAGAATTCCCCGTTCTCATTTCTACATTTCTCCTCAATTCTCTGCCTTGCAGCCATGAGTGTCTACCCAGCAAACGCTCCGCCCAGCAGCTTTGGCTCCTCCGCAGAGCTGCGGGCTCTGCCTCCTGTCTGCCCTTAGGATACTGCACACACCCCGCCTCACAGCACAGTTCTGGAGGCCTGGATTCCCCCCCCCAGTCCCATTCCACCCCCCAGAGGCCGCGCCCCCTGGGAGCAGCTTCCGGGCCAGCTCTGCTTGGCCGCACACCGGCCCGGGGCCAGGGCCTGGCCCACTCATGCCCACCCACTGAGTCATCCCGTGGAGGTTTCTCAAGATCCCACTGTGTGCCAACCCCTGAGTGAGGTGCTAGCATACTTAAGCGGAGAACAAAGTTTCTGTGAGAGCTGACAGATTACTGATGAGACATCAGTGAATCCAGTAAAAAAGAAAACACTGAGCAATGATGAAGAGTGATAGCTGCTGTGAGGAAAAGAACAGGGCTCCAGGAGAGTGAAAGTGGGCACTCAAATGGCATAGGAAGCGGGTGTCTGGGAGGCCTCTGCTGGGGTGCACACCAGGTGCCTAATAAGTGCTCAGTGTGGTGGACGTGTTTGAGGTAGTGGAAGGAAAGGGGCCCAGACAAGAGAGGGGAAAGGGGTCCAAAGCAGGGCGGGGGTCAGACCAGGAAGAGAGGGCTGGCGCTCGAAACTCAAAGCCCTCTCCCGAGGGGAAGGACAGACCCCAGTGTGGAGGGACAAATAGGGGCCTGAAACAGTTGGGCGTGAACCACTACTGCTACGCTGGCTTCCGGAAGCACAGGCCCTGCAGGAAGGAAGTGGGGCTCAGCTCATTGAAGATGCTGTGCCTTTTACGCACCGCTTCTGGGTATAAAACAGGACGTCAGGGCATTACAAGATCCCCCTGGACTGCAGCCCTGGGAGCCGAGCAGCAGGCAGGCTGCTGGCCACTGTGCCCTGGGCAGCAGCCCTGCCTCTTCTGGGGACTCAGCCGGGCTGGGGATCCACCTCAAGCTACCTCAGCCAGAGGCAGGGGCTGTGCGTGGCGGGATGAGGTGAGGTGGGTCCCCAGCTCCTCCAAGGGACACTTAGGGAAGAGGAGAAGGATGATGTCTGCCTGTCAAGTCCACAGCCCTGGGCCCAGGACTCAACTAGGACGTCAGGTCCCAGATTCTCATGACAGGCTCAGCTGTCCCCAGAGTTGGCTTCTTTCTCAGGACAGGTTCTCCTGAGTGATGTCCATGTTGCCGCGGCCCTGGGCTGAGCCTCAGCTGGAGGAGAGGTCTCAGGAAGCCTCCTGGCCCCTGAGGCTAGTTCTGACAGGCGGCTCGCCCTGCGGCCCCAGCTGGCTCCACCCAGATCATATGGACTTCCAGCGAGGGCGGGGCCCCAAAGGCGGAGCGGGCACCTGGACAAAGGAAAGAATAGGGCTGTCCACCACAGCAGGGACGAGGGACCCGCTACAGAGGAAGACAAACCACAGGGAGAGGAGAAGTCCCTGTGGAGTGCTGGGGTTTCAGGACAGAGGGGCCCTGACAGGTCAGGGAGGGTGTCAGGGAAGGGGTGTCCGGGTGGCTGGAGAGACCGGAGTTCTTGTGAAGAGTAACCACCCAGCAGTTTTCGACCCCCTTCCTTCCCTCTCCTGCAGGTGCCTTTTTCTTGCTTACACCCGCGAGCACAGGAGAGCGGATGCCAGTGACATTTGTTTTCTGCTCCGCGCCGGGCACAGGTAAGCCACCAGGGGCGTCTTTCCTAACGAGGAAGAAAAATGTCAGAACGGCGATCAGCCTCGTTGCACCCAACAGACTTGAAAATGAGCAAAAATAACAGGAAAATTCACTTTGCATAGGCTGGCTGTCCATCGTCCCCAGATTAGGAGAGTGGGATTTTCTTTGTGCCATGCTGAGTTCTGCTACGAGGTGCCCCCACAAGTGGACACACCTCAGAGAGGGGACATTCATTCTGGGAATGACTGTATTCCATTTAAAACCGGAGCTGAAGTCGAAGGCTGGGTCCATGTCTGGTCCTCCTGGTCCTCCTGCTGTCTGAGGTCTGCATGCCCAGCCCCATCTGGGAGGCCCCACCTTCCATTTGAGGTTATACGTCTTCTGTGTGTGGGGGCATGGGGCAAAGTCCACTTACTAACAACAACTTTCTGTGATCTCACATCACCCTTCAGCGAGCCTGTGAGATAGGACTGTCACCCCTATTAACAGAAGAGGAAACTGAGGCTTACATGGGCCTCTCCACTGTGCTGTACAAGCTCCCTATCTCTTCTGTCAAGAGCAGACACTAGATCCTTCATTACTGTATTCCCCCAGAGCCCGGCCCAGAGCCTGCACATGTGGCCCTGGGTGCATTCTGTCAAATGACTGAGTGAGTTGGGGTGGCGGGGTCTTGCCCCTACCGGGACCGAGTGCTCTGAGCGCAGGCGCCTTGCCACGCGTGGCTCATGTAGGCTGGGCACACGGCAGGAGCTCCCGGCGGGGCCTGGTGGGGGCGAGCGGTGCTGCAGGAGCAGGGAAGCTCTCCTCGCTGATTCCAGGCCAGAGCGGCAGAAAGATGAAAGGAGGCGAACGAGGAAGTCCTTCAAGTAATAAATGAAAGTAACCCTGATTGGCCTCATTTAGAGCAGTTCAGAGAAGGAAGAGCCGAGAACCACATGCAGCCCGTCTCCAGGGCCCAGCCCCGCCCTCCTCGAGTGGCGCAGACGACTGTGGTGGGGCTGTTGGGTGCCATGGCACTGGACTGCCTGGGAGAGGTGCGTGGTACCCCGCCGTCCTCCTTCATAGCCAAGGAAGCAGGAGGGACATCTGCAGAGGACACCAAGAGAAGGTGAGCCTGTGAGAGATGATGGCCAGCACAAGGAGAGACAGAACGAGGCCACTGAGGTGGAGAGGTCCCACCAGAGGCACAGGGAGCTGAATGTGTCCCCTCTGCACGGCCCCACCTGCTCCATGCACCTCCCCTCGGGCTTCCCCACAGGGACGCATCACTCTGCCCTCTGGGTGGGTTTGAGGCTGGGGCCAGCAGCAGACTGGGGCTGGATGACAGTGGCTGGGTGGCCATGCCCCAGGCTCCTCCTCCCGAGGTCCCCACTCCTGCCAGGTGGTGCTTTCCGCACAGCCACATTGGCTGCAGAGTCAGGTAGCCCCTCCTCGCCTGGCCCCGCAGCCCAGGAGCAGGAACAGCCCCACTGCTATTGGCCTCGAGGGGCTGCCCTCCTCCGTGAGTACCCCTTCATCAAAATCTCCCGAATGGGCATGCCCCCTGCTGCTCGCCAGGCCCTGGCGATATAAGGACGTCCTGGGCTTCTAACTTTGAGGTGCAGAGGGACCCTGCTGTGGAGGAGAGAGGCCCTTGCCTCTGATGTGGGAGGCCTGTACTTCCCAAAGTCAGAGAGCCAGGCGGGCAGGGCATCCTTGAGAGCAGACCGGGGCCTCTCCTGGAAGGCAGCAGCCGGCACAGGAGGACCCAGCCTCCTCCATGCACCTGGGCACCCACGACTGGCTGTTTCACGAGTGTGTCTCTGGGCTCTGTTGCAGCTGTCCCCAGAGGACGGTCCTCAAGATAAATAAAGAAGCCTCCGCTGACTGTGCATTCCAGTGTCCAGACTCCAGGGCCTATTTTTAGAATGTAGGACAACGTTCTCCCAGAATAGACAAGACACACTAATCCAGGAGGCAGGCCTGGGAGCGATGAAGACATCGAGTCTAGAGATGAATTAGTCGCGAGTATATTATTTGAAGAAATGTTGAACAGCTAGGCAAATATTTGATCCCTTTGAATTGGAGCTGGCGTTTTCACAGGCAGAGTGGCAGCGGCTGCCTGAGACGTCCCCTCCTCAATGGTGTACCTGGCTGTCACGCCTGGTTCTGGAGGCCCCCCTTTTGCTACATGCTGAGAAGTAAGTAAAGCTGCATGCCGGCTGCAATTGTGTGTAAGACACAGTGTGCACACACACACTGGACTCAAGTCTCAGGGGCAGTGCCTGGTGCATGAATGGATCGAAACAGCTTGATCTTTTTTTAAGAAAAGTTTATTCTCCTTAAATATTCCATTATATTATCAAAGGGATGATAATATCTACTGGCACTTCCTTCAGTGTGGCCTTTTTGGGAAGGGATCAGAAAGCATGACCCCTGATTTGGACCCTCTGGTCTGGGACCCTGGGGAGGGGGTTGGCAGAAAAGCCACTCAGAAACAGGCCCTGTCTATGAGGCCCGGGGCAGAGCCTCCAGGTTGGGGCAGCAGCTGGGACAGTCTTTTGTTCTGGCAGAGAATTAAGCCCTGGGAGCTCAGAGCTGGGGAGCCGGGAAGGCCAGCGTGGCCGGCGCCGCTGTCCTCAGAGGGGCGGAGGTATCTTTCTACCCCTCCAGCGGCAGTGGGAAGCCAGCGTGGGCATCCCCAGCTTACAGATGGAGAAACAGCAAAGCCATGATGTGGCCAACTCAGCACACTGGTTGGGGAGTGGCAGAATGACAGCGACAGAGATGGTCTGAGAAGCGTCTAGAACTTTACAAGAGCAACAGCTTATATTTATCACGCTCTTACCACGGGCCTGGCCCTTTATGCGCGTCTGCCCAGGCAATCCTTGCAAAGGCTCCGCAAGGCACTGCTTCTTTCAGCGCCCTTTACAGATGAGAAAACGGGCTTCAGAGAGTGAGGGGCCCTGCTGCACACCGCCCAGCTGGGGTGTGGAGAGCCTGGCTCAACAGGGCAGCAAAGCCCAGGCGCCGACCATTGTACCACACTGCCTCTCTTGGACGCCATTCTGCTTGGGGAATCCGGAGCAACGCAAGAGGGCGGAGGCGTGGGGCTTCCTGGCTGTGTCGCGCAGGGTGAGAGGCTCGGGATCGAGGGCTGTGGAGGGGACCTGCGAACCCCAGCCCCGCTCCCCTGGCCGGGCCTCGCCGCTCTGCACCGCAGCTGCCCGGACGCCGCCACCAGATGGCAGCAGACGCTTTGCCATCTCGCCGCCGGGAGGGCGCGCACGGCGGGGCCGGGACGCAGGCCCGCGGGGCGCTCCCCTTGCCGGCCGGGTCACACACCTCGCGCTTCGCTGCGCCCCGACCCCACGGGAGGGGGCTGTCACCCCATTCGGCCCGCGAGGAGCCTGTGGCTGGGCCAGATCAGGGCCCGCTGGGAACGCGCGCTCGCGGGCGGCAGACTTCCGAGCAGGGACCCGCCCCGACGGCGCCCACCACGCCCAGGCGCGCGAGGCGGGCGCAGGGGCCGCAGGCGCCGCCTTTGGCGAAGCGAGGGCTCAGGTCCCCGGGCCGGCTCGGCCGCGCGCCGGGGGAAAGGGGCTGCCTCTCGGGAGCGCGCGCCGGGAGGGAGCCGCCGGTCCGCCCTCGAGGGCAGCGCGCCTGCGGGGCGTGCTCCTGGGCTCCGCGGAAGCCGTCCAGGAGCGGGCAGCTCGGCGTCCCCGGCGCGCGCCCTGAAGCCGCTGAGGAACGCGCCGAGGCCCCCGGGCCGCGCCGGGTGGCCGCCCGGACCCCGGGTTGCCCGCTCGCTGGGGCCCTCGCGGTGGAAGGACGCGCGGGAGTCTTGGGACAGCGACGGGGCGCGTCCCGGGCGCGCACTGCTGTTCCGTACGTGCGTGCAGAAAGAGGACTGAAAACAACGAAGAAACACAGCACACAGTGAAGGGGAGTGAGAACACCCGAGTGGACAAAGACAGTGCGGCGCGGCCGCCTCGAGGCCGGCCCGGTGCTGCCCTCCTCCCTGCGCGCCCGGCCTCCACCGTCGCCCGCGGACCGGGCGGCTCCCGGCGCTGGCGGGGCCGCGATGGGCGTTCGCAGGAAGGACGGTGGAGGAGGGGGTGGAATTGCGAGGGGTTCCAGGACCCCCCACTGTGCTCTCAGCGTCTCAGACCCGGCAGGGTCCTGCTGTAGTGCAACACTGTTTTTTATTTTATTTTAATTATTTTCTTTTCTCTCTTCACTTGTATTTTGTTTGCGTTACATTTTATTTTACCTATTTCATTGTTTTTACTCTTTCTTTTTCTGAGGACCCTACCATAACGCCAGCCCGCCCGCGCCCTGCCTTCTCCTGTCCACAGGCCTGTGCGCGTTCTCTCAGTACGGGGGTGCGGCTCCTGAGCCCCTGGGTCTTTTCCTCAGGCAGTCTGGTCTGCCCTCAGCCCTCTGCCATCTGCCCCTCCTCTCATGGGGACTCCACTTCGCAGGCCTCCCTGACCGCTAGCAACAAAAGTCTCCTACACATTGATAAGAAAAAGACGCAAAACCCGACAGAAAAAATGGACAGAAGCAGGACCAGAGAATGAAAGGAGCTGCAGATGTCCCATAAACGTGTGACAAGTCCCTCAACATCCCTAAGTGTCAGGAACATTTAAATGAGAACAGCACCCACAAGGGTGACAAAAATTCAAAAGAATAATAGCACGTGGGACAGGTGAGGTGGTAGGGCAACGGACACCTGTAGAAGTCATTCCTGGTGGAAGGGTGAATTGCTACATATATTGAATTGTGCATCATTTATTACAATTTTAAAGTGGCTGTGGCAGGAGATTTTTTGCATATTATCCCGTGTTTTATTTCTCGCCACCTGTTATTCCCTCCCTTCTCGGCCTCCCGGTCCTGTCTTCTCCACCCCCATCCAATGCAGTCTTTGCTCATTATCTCAGGGAAGAAGCGGGAGGGTGAAGACTGTAGGCATTTTTGCAGCTTTGGTTTCCTAAAATCAAGTCCTTAAATAAACACAGAGGACGCTTGGCCCAGAGAGAACATCTGCAGAAACATTAGGGGGCAGGAGTGGATTTCAGGAAGCTTCTCTCCTGCCCTCCAACCGCCCTTCAGAAAAGATCACCCTGGACTGTGGTCCAGATGGATGGACTGCATGGGGACAGGGAAAATGGCAGAGGATGACAAGAGCCAACACATTGGCCCAGAGAGAGAAGGGAGAGGCTGCTGGTGTCTGTGCCTTCCTGTGGGAAGCAGGCCCCTCCTGACGTGCTGGGCTATGGCAGGAGGGCGCAAAAAGGCCTCCAATGGCACCCCCCACACCCGATAGTACAGAACCAGGAGAGGGAGCTGCTGGACTCCAGGGTCCAGGAGTCCATGATGTCACCGAAGCCGGAATGAACCCAGGACAGAGACCTATACATTCCCTCCCCCGCCCCACAACACCAACGCCTGGGCATCTTGGGAGACTCGAACTTAGGCTCAAACGCAGAAGAAGAACCCCAAATAAACTAAGATTAGTTGTCTACATGAAATTAAAATAAAGTTTTAGTGGAAAGATATTTTTCTTTCTTGTGCACCCAAGGGTCCCAGCTCCAGCATAGACATCTCCTGACCCAGCAACCCCACTCTCCAGACGCAACTGAAAATCTCAGCAGATAAAGATATCTGGGCAAGGATATTTCCTACAGCTCTGTGTGCAGGGTGACAAAACTGGAAATAACACGAATGCCTATCATATGGGGGAAATATTATGGAGCTAAAAAGAATTACCTTTGCAGGCGGATGCTAAAAAAGCAATAAATAACATTTAAGAGATTTTGCTAGGTTCTTAGATTCCAGATAAATATACCAAAATCAATGGTTTTCTCCATGCCCACTATGAATGATTAGGAATAGAAATGGAAGGAAATCTATGTACATTGTTCACAAAGTCCAGAAAATGCTAAAGAATAAATTTAACAAAATAAGTTCAGCATTTATAAGGAGATATTTTTAAGATATTATTAAAATAAGATTAAAGGCATTATTTGCAAGATATACCATATTTCTGGATAGGTAGACACCATAATAAGACATCAGTTTTTCCCAAAATTGTATTTCAGAGTAATTGGAATTACATTGTTCTCTTTGTCTTTTAGGTATGCCACTTATTTCATTTTCTTCTCTTATTGCGTTAGCCAGCACTCTGAAACAAGGTAGAAATAATAGGCCACTCTCCTAAGGGCAGAAATTTAGTTGCTGTCGAACTTTCCTGTGATTCTTGGTTGGCTGAGATATTTTTCTACCTATTATCAATTACACTTTGGTAATCTATCCTTTTTGGGAAATTATTCATTTTCCTCTAGATTATAAAGTTTACTGCCATAAAGATGCATACCATGGAGTCTGTACTTATAACTGCTTTCTCATTTCTAATGATATTTTTTGCTTTTTCCCAAAATCAGACTTAAAAGGAGTCTATCTATTTAACTGGGTTTTAAAAAGAATCCTATTTGGGGTTCATTTACTTTTTATGCTATTTTCAGTTTTCTGTCTCATAATTTGCAGCTTTTAACCTTTATTAATTCCCCCATACTCAGTCCATGTGTGTGGTGTGGTCTTTTGTATTGTTCTTTTTTAATTCCCTAAATTAAATACTTAAGTGGGGTTTCTTCACTTTATTTTTTTAATATTAAAAGAATTTATTTACTGTAAAATTTTTCTCTGATTTTAGTATGTCCCTTAGGTTTTGGTTTGAGATGTTCTCCTTAATTCCTTTTTTGATCCAAATAATTCAGAAGAGATTGTTTAATTTCCAAATATTACAGGTTTGTTTTCTTCAATAATTTTTTTCTTTTAGGAAGATTGGCCCTGAGCTAACATCCATGCCCATCTTCCTCTACTTTATTTGTGGGACGCCTACCACAGCATGGCGTGCCAAGTGGTGCCATGTCCACACCCGGGATCTGACCTGGTGAACCCCGGGCCGCCAGAGCAGAACTTGTGAACTTAACTGCTGCACCACCGGGCTGGCCCCTATTTTCTTCAATAATTTTTTGAGGAGATTATTTTTTTTAATTGTTGCTTTCTGTTTTCACTGGGATGTGATCAGAGAATATGATATGTACTATCTTGAGTTCACTGAGATTGCCTTAGGTTTTGCTTGTGAGCAAGAACCTGTTGATGTTTGAGATGGTCCAGGATACACAAGAGAAGAATGTGTCTTCTCTGTTTATAAAGTAAAACCTAGAACAATCAACTGTGTTATTCAGATCCTCTACGTCTTTGCCTGCTAAGAGCTACCACTTTCTGGAAGAGATTCAGGACACCGTCATTATCCAAGAACAATGGTACTAGAGGAAAAAGAAAAAACCTTCACAGCGAATCCACGTGGGAGAGGACAAAATCTCATGCAAAGAGTAAAAAGGTTTTACTGGCATTATATGGTGAGAAATGAAACCAAGTATTGTAAAAAAGATTTTTTAGCCAATATTTACCAAAATTTAGGTTATAATTGCAATGATGTAATAATTTTAGAACAAATATAAATCTAGTGCACTTTCCCATATGCATGTTGTACTTGAATGAAAAGTTTGCTTAAAAACAGTAAATCTAACACTGACCTTTTGGAAGTATAATGCTTCCAATACAGTTGTGTGAGAGCCTGGCGAGACCCCTTGCCTTCACATTTGGCTTCTGCAGTACTATCATGTTTTGAATTGATGGCTTCAGCTGTCATCCTAAGGGCCTCTCTTAATCCTGTGCTATTTGTATCAGTCAGGATTGCATTTGACAGAAACCCAATTTAGCAAGTGAAACAAGCTGAGAGCTTATTTCTCTCATATGACAAAAACTCCGAAGGCAAATAGATGGGCTTGGGGGCCCCTGCTCCCAGGAAGCCTCGCAGATGCGGCTCCCCGGCTCCCTGTTCTGCCGCCCTGAGGGTCGTGCTTTCCCCCTCGCATCCCTCGCCGGGTGTGCGCCTGCAGGCGTCATATCCACATTCCACCTCCAAGAAGGGGGCGGGACTCAGGGCAGAGATGGTCACGCCAGCCTCGCCTGTCCCTTATTTATCAGGAAAACAGTAACTTTCACAGAAGCCCTGCAAGCAGGCTTTGGTATCTCATGGGTCAGAATGTTGTTCGGCGGCTACTCCCAGCTGCAAAGGAGTCTGGGATGTGACTCCCTTTTTTAACTGAGCACATCACCACCCTCAACAAAATTGGGCTGCTGTCAGTGAGAAGAAGAGGAATAAATGACGTGGCAAATAACAGCTATCTGTCACATAAATCAGACCATTTTCATTTTGAAATACTCCTTTTTTTATTTTTGGTGAAATTTCCCTTCTCCACTGTTTACTGCTCTCGGTCAGTGGCTCTGCATGTGGTTCTAGCAATTGTCCAATATCACTGTTTAAAATAGAATCCAGTCTGATTCTTTTAAAAAGCAATTAAAATTCTGCATATTTATTTATCCTATTTCATAAAATACTACATTATTTTTACGATTTGTCATTTCATTTTGCAGTTGACTTGTGTTGTGTTCTATTAGGGGATGTTTCGTGACCATCAGAAGTGCTGATGCTTTTGTCTAGGTAGATGCTAGCTGCAAACTGAGAGGAATGTTGAGTGGGGATTAATTTTATAAAACCTTGGTTCATTGGTATCAAGATTCAAATCGTGGCTTAACCTCTTACTAGCTGTGAAAATTTGGGCAAATTATCTAACCTTTCTGTGGCTCTGTTTCCTTTTTTGCAAACTGGGGGTGGTTTATTGGTTGTCTATTTCTGTAAAAGAAACCACTCCAACAAATTTTAAACAAAAACTGTCTCACTGTCTCACGATTCTGTGGCCCAGCAATCTGGGCTGGGCTGTGCTGGTGCTCCTGCTGCTGCTCCTGTCTGCTGTTCCTCATGCACTGCAGTCACCTGGAAACCCAGCCACACTGCGTGTCCTAAGATGGGCTCACTCACCTGTGTGGTCATTGGCGCTCGGCCACAAGTCCCCAGCAGGCTAGCCCAGGTTTCTTCACGTGATGGTGGGAGTGTTCCAAAAAGCAAGAGTGGAAGCTGCAAGGTCTGTTGACACCTAGCTCAGAAGTGACAAAAAGTAACTTCTGCAACATTCTATTGTTAAAGCAAGTCACAAAGCCAGACTAGATTCAAAGGATGGAAAAATAGACTCTACTTCTTAATAGAGGGAATGGTAGAGTCACATTTCAAGGGTTATGTGTACAAGGATGGGAGAAATTATTATAGCCATCTTGGCAAATAGTAATAATCAGGACTCATAGTTTGTGGCAGGGACCACAAGGGTTAATTACTATTTGCAAAGTGCTTAGAACCTTGGTTGGCACATTGTAAGTGTTTCAATGTCTGTTTCTTTTTATTATCATTATTATTGTTGTCATTGCATTAGGACTGCTTGTGTTTCTCAAAGCAACCTCTTTTCTTTTCTTTTTTTTTTTTTGCTGAGGAAGATTCACCCTGAGCTAACATCTATTGCCAGTCTTCCTCTTTTTGTATGTGAGCTGCCATGACACCAGGGCCACTGACAGACTAGTGTAGGTTCACACCCAGGAACCTGGGCTGCCTAAATGGAGCATGCCAAACTTAACCACTAGGACACCAGGCTGGCCTCAAATTAACTTCTTAACTGCAGGGATTTGAATACAGTATACTCAGATAATTGTTCCCTTGCATTGTCACCTCCTACTGTGGTTGTATTTTTATCCTGATCTCTGTGTATTCCTAGGAGTTTGCTTTATGTGTTTAACCACCACATTGTTTGGTACATACGTGTTTATGAAGGTTGTTTTTTCTCAGTGAAGTGTACCTTCAAATTTCATGATTTCCCTCTCTGTCCTGGTCAGTGCTCCTCCCCCTAGGATTCCACGCTGACTGATGTTCACATTGCCACCATGCTCTCTTTTTTGTCTGCATTTGTGTGGGTAGCTCTTTTGCTCACCAATTAATTTTCAACCTTGTTTTGTATCTTTTGTTTTAGAGATGTCTCATGTAATAATATCCACTTGGATTTTATTTGTTTTTCCAAGCTTGATAGGAAAACTCATCATTGTTATGATGATGGATGACATATATTGGGTTCAACTTCTTCAATCTTATTGTATGTTAACTAATTTTATTACACGTCTTTCTAGTTTATGTTTGCTATGTTATTTCCCCTTTCCCATTTACTCACGTTTGCTTGCTCGCTCAGATTTCTCGTCATTCTTTGCCCTATTAATTTGGAAATTCTGTGACACTTTTCATTCCCAATAATGGTTACCTTCCCATCCCTACGAATCGTAGAAAGCTGCATTTCTTTACAGATTGTATTAGTTACCTATTGCTGTGTAACAAATTACCCCAAAACTTAGCAGCTCAAACAACAGGAACTTAGTGTCTCAGAGTTTCTGAGAGTCAGGAGTCTGGGAGTGGCTGGGCCGGGTGGTCTGGCTCGGGGCCTCTGACGAGGCTGGAAACAAGTGTCAACCACGGTCATCAGAAGCTTGATGGCTCTGTAGGGTCTTCTTCCAGGCTCACCATGTGGCTGTTGGCAGGAGGCTTCAGTTCTTCGTGACATGGGCCCCCATCGGTCTGCTCCCAGCAGAGAAAGTCCGGGGGAGGAAGTCCCAGGGCCTTTTTTGGCTTTGTCTCAGAGTCGCACCCCATCACGCTGTTACATTCTGTTGGTCAGAAGACAGTTGCTAAGTCCCTTCCACACTCCTCTGAAGGGGAATTCAGCTCCACCTCTTGAAGGGAATATCTTCGAAGAATTTGTGGACTTATTTTTTAAACCAACACACGGACATATCAATTTCAAACAAGTGTTTGACACAGCCCTCCCATCAAGATGTTTTTCTTGCCTACCAAGATGAAAGCCCTCCAGTTGTCTTCTCCCCTTCTCTTTTCTGCTTCTCATTCTCCATGCGCTTCCCGTCCTCCAATGGCTGGACTTTGCTGAGGTCATTTTGGATCCCATCTCCAGGTCATCATTTGGTTTCCCTTGCTGCACCCCAATCCACCTGGTTTTGGCTGCAGCATCTCTCCGGCAGCTTCCTCAGATGGGGTACAGGATTTTGCGAGCTCTGACACCTCTTGTTATCACCTGGATGTGTGAATGATACCTTGTGTGGATATAGGATTCTTGGGTCATTGTCCTTGTCCCTTAAGTATCTGAAATCAATGTCGCGATTGGGTGGCAGGATGGCTGACGAGAAAGCCAATACCAACCTGATTTTTTTTCCTTTGTAAGCACCTCTCCTCTTTGTCTGGAAGTTTATAATTCAGGAATTACACCAGGGTCTAAGTATATGTCTTTTTAGTTAATCCTTCCTGGAGCTCCATGAGCCCCTTTCATCAAGGCTTTCTTCAGCTCAGAAAGTGTTCTTTAATTAATTGTTCGATTACTGTTTTCCCTTTATACGTTCTTTTTTTCTTTCTTTTTCTGAAACCCCTCTCCTTTGAATGTTGGGTTGCCTGGATTTGTCCTCCAAATCTCTTTCTGGTTTCGCACTGAAGAGAGATTTTCTCCCGCTGGAACTCCCAGGATGCTGACTGTTTCTCAGCAGTGGTCACTCTATTCCGAGCTCTGTGGCTGAATTTTTAAAGCGAGACATCGTTTTATTTTTCGGTTCCTCCCCGACCCACGCCACCCTAGTTTATCTCCTTCAGGCTGCTCACTTTCCCCGTGACATTCTCTTCCTTCCTCAGCGGGGCCGCTGTCCTGGTCCTCGGCGTGGACTTCCTCCCTCAGACCCCTGCCTTCTCACAGGTGGGGTGCCAGTTTTCCGGGCCCTGCATGGCCAGTGGTTCCCTGGACACTGACAAAGATTCCTTCCTCAACCAAATTCAGCTCGGGCTCCCCTGAACTCCTTCTCAACTGGACTTCCACTTCTGGACTTGGTGACTGTCCCTGCATCGTCCACTTTTAGGGAGAATCCTGCTGAGTCGGTTTAGCCAGAACCCCCAACCCTCGACATCTGATCACCCTCGAAGCCTGGTTCCTCATCCCAGAGCCCTCCAGGGGATGTCTGACCCCTGGCCTGCCTTCAGCAAGAATCCCGTTAGGTCAGTTCGGCCAGAATCCCCGCACCCCTGACGTTTCCTCTTAGTAATTCTCCAGCCACTGACCCCCAGCTACTCCTCGGCTGTAATTCCCACTTCTCATCTGTATTCGGAGTTGAGTGGGATCTCTCTCCTCCAGTTCATGACCCCTTTGCAGTAGTCCCTACATTTATTTTGATGAACCCCCTGAATAAAATCTGCCTGTCCTCAACGAGTGTCAGGAATAATTTTTTCTTCAACACCCACTCCCGCGCGGCTCAGGCTGCTAACCACCTCCGGGCCGAGGCACGCCAGCACCACAGGTTCAGCCCGGGCGGGTCCCCGTGAGCAAGCTAGTGCATTGACACCTTCCACCGAGTGCTAGCAGCGTCCTCCCAGGTGCACAGGAAGGCAGCCCACCAGCTTCCCCAAGGCCAGCACTGCCACATAGACGGCCCTGAGGGCCTCAGGGCAGGGGAGGGCAGAGAGAGGTCCCGCATACAGTGGGGGGAGCTGCGACGCCAGCCTGCTCCCCAGGGCTCCACCACGGGTTGGCCTCGGCTGCTTCCAAGGAAGGGATGGTTATTTTGGAGGGGAAATCAAGGAGAAGGGGCTGGGCCCTGGCTGTGAATGTGTGCTGGATGGAGCCAAGGGGAGCCGGGACTCCAGGCTGGAAATGTGAACCAGAGGGCCTGGGGCATATTTGAAATGCCTGGGGAGCTTCTGACATAGACGAACCCCCACGCCAAGCTCAGACCTATTGAATGAAATCTCTAGGTGGCGGCTTCAGCGTCCGCATTTTTAAACTGTACACAGGTGGTTCTCCTGAGCAGCCACAAACAGAAGCACTGGCCTAGAAGGTCATTGGGACCAATCTTACCTAGATCTTGATGGTAGTGTGTCCACCTCTCTCTAAAATACCGGTCACATTTACCTGTCTATTTAAACGTCTGTGAAGTCATTAATCGTGTCTTATCCTTTGTGTCCCTGAATCTAGTACAGTGCCGGACACTCACATCAATACATCCATGAATGAATCTGTATTTTAACGTGGTCATAAAACTACAGCGCTAAAAACACCCCTCGTGCCCATTTAGTCAACAGGCCCCATGCACACCCTGTACAGATGGAGACATCAAGACCCCGAGCAGAGCAGCTTCCCCCGGAAGTTCCCCCAGCCGAGAATGCAGGCTGCAGGGCAGCCATGGCCGTCGTTCTGCTCGCCTCATTTTCAGTCTCTTTTCCAGGCTTTGTAAACCTGTACGTGTGAGGAGGGGTGCGCTCGGACTCATGCCATGGGCTGGGGCGCATGGTCACTGCTCCCCAGTCCTCTCCTCATAGGCAAACGCCGCTGTACGCTGGGCCTGTGTTCCAGGAACAGGTCTGGGCGTAAACTGAGCATCGGCAAAGTGAGTCCAGTCCATTCAACAAATATGTACCAGGGCCTGTTCCAGTGTCCGCATTTAGGATACGTCCGTGAACAAAAAGAAACACATCCCCCCGGGGCTTACATTCTAGCGGCATGCGGTAGCCAGTCTCCAAAGACGGCAGCCGACGATGCCACAGCCCCACACGCACCCTCCTTCCATCAGCAGGGCCCTGAGTCTCCTCGCCTGGACCCGGGCCACCCTGCGACCAGCCTTGAGCGACAGCATGCAGCAGGAGTGAGGCCGTGCTGGGTCTAGGCCTAGCCATTAAGAGAACTGATTTTGGTCTCTGGGAGCCCAGAGCACGATGCAAGAAGTCCAGCCACCCTGCCCAGAAAGCAGCCCAGCCAGCCCTTGGCTGTGCCAGCCCCCCAGCCGAGGCACCGGACACATAAGCAATGCTATCTGATGTCCCAGCTCCAGTCAAGCTCCAGCTGAAGGCAGACACCTGAAGGACCCCAGTCAACATCATGTGCAACAGGACTGCCCACTGAGCCCAGCCACCCACGAGGTCCTTAGAAACCATAAACTGCTATTGCTTTAAGCCACTGATTTATGGGGTATTGCTCCAACAGACAACTGAAACGTGAGGGGAGAAAGATCATAAACAGTAAGCGTGGGAAGTACGCTTCATTATCAGTCATATTATCCATTGTCAGTTATCAGTGACTCCCAGGTCTTTGGCTTTAGACCCATGAACACTCTCCCTCCCTTCTCTTGAGGGCACACCTCCCCATCCTCAGGGCCTCCGCTGCCCAGCTCTCCTCTTGGCGGCATGGTCAGAAGGTTGAATAGTCGCCCAGGAGCACAGCCCCCAGACTTGCCCCAAATCTCTCTGATTGTCTGGTGCAGAGCAGGTGCTGGCTCTGTCAGAGGCCCTCCATCAACCTCAGTCCACCCTGTAACTACCCTGCCAGGCCGCCTCTCCACAGGGGAAGGAGCAAGCGATGAGGGCCTGAGACCGTGAACACACGATTTGCTCACGCTCCCTGCTGCCTGCGCCAGCCTCACCTCCACTCCCTCACCTGGAAGGTAAGGCCTCCAGGGGCACAAGCTCCCCAGGCACTGTGTCATGCTGGTCCCATTGCCTCCTGCTCCTCCTTCTGCCCACTCACTCTTCTCGTGCTAACAGCAGACCAACTTTTCTCAGGGACCCACCCTCCCTCTCTGGTCCATCGACTCCATTCCCCCGTCTGGGGCAGGCTCCTTACCCAGAACACATGGACCAATCCATGTATTCTAACTGTCGCCATGGTGATTGGTTCAGGAATGGGCACACAGCCAAAGCCATGCAATCAGAGCCGACCCCAGGACTCTGTGCTTCTATCAAGAAGAAAACCCCCTCTTCCACCAGGATTGCTCTTTGTGAGGATAACGTGAGCCTAGAGCTGCCGGGGCCCCAACAGGAAGATTGCTAGAGAATGACACCAACGTGGTAGAATGCAGAAGAGACCGAGACACAGACAGACAGACACAGACACAGACAGGGAGGGAGATGATGACAGCGTTCGAGCCCCTGGGTCCAGCAGTTCCAGAAGCATGCTGATCTTGTCGGCAGGAGTAACATTTGCCAGAGGGATTCATCCTTTCAGGCATAAATGCCTCCTGTCTTTCTGAAGGGCTGAAGCGACACTCAAGGAAACCTAACATACTCTGCTGACAGGTGCATGAGCTGCTAACAAGGCCCATTTACAGGTAAACAGAAGTCACTTTTATCTGCCCACATGTAGCATGACAGGAAGAGGGGTGCTCAAGCCTTTTTTGGTTGTGACAGGAAACTGATTTCAATTGGCTTAAACAAACGGGGCACTTATTGACCCACGTATCCTGCTACAGAAAGGACAGGGGTGGTTCTGTCTTCAGGAACAGCTGGATCTAGGGGCTAGAAAACTGTCTGGATAGTCATAGGCTTTCTCTTTTCTCTCTGCACGTGAGACTCATTCTTCTCTGGTCTGGCTTTCTCTGCGTGTCAGGGAGCATAGCTTCAGGCAGTCCCTGGCTTACCTCCTCAGAGCCCGGTAGCCAGAGAGAACAAAGTCTTTCCTCTCTAGAACCAGTTAGAAAAGTCCTGGGGAAGGATTCTGATGGGCCCAGCCTGGATGGCTGGTCCACCCACGTGGCCAAGGTCAGAATCTGTTATCACAGGCAGGAAGACTGGTGCCAGCAGGCTCCAGGGGAGCACAGTGACTGGTCTTAACCGCATCTACTTGGAGAGGGGGAGGGGAGGGTGGAGGTGGGGAGACTGTCTACACCGCAGTCAGCCTGAGGTCTAATCAGACAGCAGTGCCCAGCGAATGGGGCGCCCCGAGTCCCAGAACTGGGTTCCAGAGCGGCTATCTTCCCACCAGGCTGGGGGACCGTGGCACATCAGGTGGGGGGCGCCGCACCTGAGAGAAGGCTGGCTCGCCTTCGAATGACACAGAGTGGATGTCATGGTGGCTTTGATGGTGTTTAATTAAATATTTGCCACATTTAATTAATCAAAGCCTGAAATGTGGTACCAGATGTGACTTAGTGGACATTACGTCTCAACAGCCCTTGGAAGGGAGCCCCGCAGGCTCGGCCTCCTGGGCCACCTGCGCAAGGGCTCCAGGAGACCCTTGGGGAGCGTCATTAATTAATTAGTGACTGAGGCAGCACTGGGCTTTGCTGTTTCAGAATGTCATGCGTCACTCAGGCAGGGGTCTTCCTGTTGGGTCCCAGGGGAGTGGATTAGGCAAGAGCCCAATTCCTGGGTGGCAAAATCTGTCCCAGACCTACACACACACCTACACGCACCTGCCACCTCCTCTATCCATAAATAGTCCCTGTGCCCCAAATTCCACCAATAGAGATTGCTTCCTTGGTTTCTGGCCACGTCCCCGCCCTTTGACCTGCCATTACCCCAGGGGTTGGGAGCTCCTTGACAGCCTCCGAAGGGGGAAAGTGCTTCCTCCAAATTGCCCAGCACAACATGTGGCAACCTTCAGCCCCCTAAGTGTAGAGCTCAAGCACCCCTGCCACCCCCATCCCCCAGCTAGGGTGGGGGCAGTCCTGAAGAAAGCCTCAGGGCCCAGCCCGCGGGAGGCGCAGGGCAGGTGGGCAGCTAGTTATCCCCGGGCTGCAGGCACAGCTCTTCTGGGCCCATCCAGGGTGGGAGGGCAGCGGCGGACACAATGAGATGCCAGGATCTGCAGTCACAGTGACCTTTCCAGAAGCAAATCTGATGGTTTGGGGCGGCTGGGGGATTCCCCACCACCCTCTTCATCCAGGCTGCCCTGGCCCTGCTGCCCCCAGCAGTGCCAAGCATCATCCTGACTCCCCAGCCCCCATCTCAAGAGTCTACATTCCAGCTGCGCCAGCCTCCGGTCCGGTCCTGAAAGCACCAGGCCGAGTCCGCATTCTTTGGCCCTCGGCACATTCCCTTCCCTCTGCCCGACATCCTTGACAGTCTCTCAGATCTCACTGAAGATGTCAGCTCCTCCAGGAAGTCCAGTTGCCTTGAGCGTGGATTCCAGCATGGGAGGGGTGGGTAGGCGGTCCCAGGCAGGGGCAGCCAGATGCCACTAGGCTTCCCTGTCTAGCTTCTCGGCACATCCCATGCGCTCGTGGAACCACTACAGGTATGGGATGGATGCCAGCGTCTCTCCCTCCTGTCTGACCCTAAGTGCAACCTCATTTGGAGATGGCAGTCCTTTGGCGACCCTGAGGCCTCGGTCAAGTGGCCCACATGCTCCTTATAGGGATGGAAAACTGAGGCCAGAGCAAGGAAGAGGCCAGCTCAAACTGGCCTGGCAAACCAGGCTGCCCTCCCCCAGAAGTTCCTCCCCTCCCATGCCGCTGAGCTCCGCACCCTCCTCCCAGCCCCCAGCCCTGGCACAAGCTGGCCTCGCGGGCTTCAGGATCCAGCCATCCCGACACCCTTGGGCACCCCCCATCCGGTCTCCTCTGCCTTATTCCCTGCCCTTTATAAATATGCATTGGGCCAGAGAGATGGGGGGCCTCTTTTTGAGGGAAAATTAACAACAGTGACAAACTTAGTTATTCATGCAAACCGTCAGCCCGTGATCCCTGATTATGCAGGATGCAAACTGTGCCTATCTGAGCGACTGGGCGCCCTCATCAAAGGCGCCCCCCGCAGCAGCCGGCCCACCTTGCCGCCGCCTTGTGCCCTCTCAGCGCCGGCACGGGCCAGTGGCGCCCCCTCCGCCAGCGCCTGCTCCTGACGCAGGGCCCCTCCACACTGGAGTTTAAAGGATTAATTAACCTTGTGGGATTGGCGGGGAGAGCTCCACCTGGCTATCTGCTGCATGAAAGCATCCGCTCGCCAGAGTATTTTAAGCTCACAGTGCAGACCATATGGTATTTCAAAGAACAGAAGCTGAAAGTACAGTACATATTTATTCCTTCCACAGAGAGCATTAAAGGGGTCTAATAGTATTTTATTAAAGCCTATACGAGCGGGCATGTGTGTGTGTGTCTGTGTGTGTGTGCGAGGCAAGCGCAAATATACTTGACGCATAGAAAAAATAAATGACACAGATTTATTTTCATCTCTCTGCCAACCCACCCCATAGCAACAGTGTAAACTTGAGAAAACAAGAAATATTTTATCAAGTCGTCTCAACTCATGGCTATTGCCAATTTTTCCTCTCTATTTTGAAACGATAGCAGTCTCCTTGGTGTCAGGCCTGCTGGCAGAAGGAAGAGTGGGGAGGCAGGTCTAAGATGATAAAGGGGCACACGGGCAGCCCAGGCCCCTTCAGGAGCTGCCCCCCACCCCCCACCCCGGCGAGGTGCTTAATCTGTGCGAACCTCAGTGGCCTTCTCTCGAACGCTGACCTCTCAGGGCAGGGTAGGGAATAAAATGAGAAGGCGCTGGCAGCCTACCTGGAAGAGCCCTGGATCTGGGATTTCGAGGAAAACCTACTGTGGAAGTCGGTGGACTGCGCCCTTCCCAGCAGGCCGTCTCCCTCCTCCTGGGAACGGCCCTGCCCTCTCCTTGGGGCAGCCCCCTTTCTATCTCTCAGCCCAGGTGATGGGGTTCGAATTAACTCCACTCCTCTCATGACAGGCTGGCCAATCAGAGCCCTGTGTCTCCCCAGCCTCAATGACTGGTCCAGGGATGGTCACGAGACCCGTGACAGAACAATGGGGCTCAGTCCTGAGACTTTTGCTGGAATGACTGGGAAGGACGCTCTCTTTCCCAGCAGACTTGCCAGGCCGGGAGCTTGGAGCTCATTGCCAACCGAGTCTTGGGCAAAAACCTAGTGACAGGAGAGTCCAGGACAGATGTGGACTCTGTCCAAACGACGGCTCGCCTCTCCTAAGCAGAAGATAGAAATTGAAATTCTCAAAATAAATAAACAAAAATTTTAAAGGAAAAAAATACAGAGCAGGCAAGCTGGTCAGGTGCAGCTGCCCAAGGCTCTGACTATCCTCTCTGGACAACGACGGAGGCTGGATCCCATGCAGAGAGGCCAGAGGTCTCAGGAAGGCCAGGCTGCCCCGCCCTGGGCACCTCAGGCTCTGCCTGCAGTCGGAGGCCTGCCCTGAGGGGGCAGCGGTGAGCCCACGCGGCCTCAGGAGCAGTGGGAGGGGCTTCCAGCCGGGGCTCTCCGCGCCCTGATGCACATCCCTTTTCACAGGAAGAGACTCTGTTGAGGAAACAGCTTATAGTCTAGAAATTCAACAAATGCAAATGCACACAGCACAGGTGTCAGAGCATGGATAGACTCTGAAATTCTAGGTCTCCCCTCCCCCACCGCTCTGATGAAAAAACTGAATACCAGGAAGATAATAACTACCTTCCACCCAGCCTTTCTCCCACCTCGTATTTACCATCTTCAAGTCTTTCCTTTCATATATGTAGGAGAGAAGAGATTTTCTGGCCATAAGATGTAAATGGGAAAGTGTAATTTTCTCTAATATTCTATAAGTGAGAATTGAACCTCCATTTTATTTATTTGTTTTTTTGTTTGTTTGTTGGTGAGGAAGATTGGCCCTGAGCTAAGATCTGTGCCAATCTTCCCCTATTTTGTATATGGGATGCCATCACAGCATGGCTTGACAAGCAGTGTGTAGGTCTGTGCCTGGGATCCAAACCTGCACACTCCAGGCTGCCAAAGCAGAGCTGTGAACCTGCCCCCTACACCACCTGACCGGCCCTGAACCTCCATGTGACATGATGGCAAAAAAGTTAATCTAGTTAGTTCCAGTTTCCTCAGACAGTGCTGTGTTCCGTCATTTCAGATCTAAACTCAGTCCACGGAGATTTTCCTCCTCACCCTCTTCTCCATCTGAGTTTTAGGGGCTAAGAGAGTCACGGCATACAGGACACTGGCAGGGAGAGAGGTCTCCTTGGCCATCCAGTGTCATTCCTCAGCCGCTCTGCTCTGGTCAGAGCCAATAATGCTATCTGACCAATCCTCCTGTAGGTAAGAACCACAAATTCCAACAGGAACTAAAGGCCCTGGGGAGAGACTAAAGGGCAGACACTGGGGAGAGTCTGCACCTACAGGAGGCAGCAGCACTGGGTACGGGCCCCTTCTTTATGGGCTGAAGCTCTCCGCAGGCTCCAGTCTGCCCCACGAAGGGCAACTAAAACTTGTAGAGAAAAGTCCTACTGGGCTTGAAGAACCAGGGGTCAGGGCGATTACAGCAACTAAAAAGTGACTGAGGAAATCCAAAAAAGAGAGAGCCATAGAAGGGGAGGCTCCAAACCTGTGTATAAAACGCCCATCTCTTGCCAACCCCACCACAGAGGAGTGAGGCAGTCACTAAGCAGCCCTGCTAAAGCCAGAACTGAGCTGAGATTTCAGCCAACGTCATCTGCAGGGGAGAGAGTTTACAGCCTGAGTTTAACCAAGTTATTTGCCTAGTAAAATAAAAATCAACATCCTTCAGAGCAGTGTACTGAACCTAGAGTCTCTGTACTTGTCATCAAATGTCCAGGATAAAATCCAAAATTATCTGACATGCGAAGACACAGGAAAACACAATCCAACTCCAGAGAAAAGACAACCAGTGGGTACCAAACAGAAAGTGACCTTTGATGTTGGAACGAGCAGACAATCATTTTAAGGCACCTATTATAACTATGCATATGAACACAAAGGAAAATATGATCATAATAAATGAAAAGATAAATATTCTCAGGAGAGAAACTATAAGAAACAACAACAGTAAGAAAAAATGATGTCATCCTCCTATGTGTGGAAGGAAATCCACTGGCTATAGTTGAGACATCTACACTTGCTGGCAGGAGCTGAGAAGGCCATTTCTCCACTGATCCACAGTTACCAGACCATACCAGCCCCCCTTCATCCTCCTCGGCCAGAATAAGAGACACCATCAAGTCTACAAGTCCTCTTTTGAGAAACACCTTCCCCCTCCTTGGGGCACAGGAAAACGTGACTGAAACCCACAAAATCTGGGGCCAAAGGAGCCACACACACACACCCCCAAACCAATACCCCTTCCGCATGCAAATGCAAGACTCCTAACAATATTTTCGCAAATCCAATCTAGAAATATACAAAAGAGAGTTTTATCTCAGGAATTCTAGGTTTGTTTAAAATTCAAAAGTCAATGGATTCATCCTTATAACCAAATGAAGGAGAAATGCCACGTGATCATCTCACTGGGTGCAGAAAACACGTGAAAAATTCAATACCCAGTCATAATTGTAAAAGAAAAGAGACAAACTCAACAGAAAGAGAATAGAAGGGAAGTTCCTCAATCTGAGAAAAGAATCTGTGAAAAGTCGACATCTGAGGTCATCCTTAACGGGAGAAGAACGAGTGCGCTCCTCCTAAGATGAGGAAAACGGCAGAGAAGTTCCCTCTCACTGCTCACACCCAACGTCGTACCAGAAGTCCTGGCCAACGAAACAAGGCGGGGAAGACATCAAAGACATACAAATCGGAAAAGAAGACCTAAAACTAACTTTATTCACAGAACATATGATCATCTATGTAGAAAATCCCTAAGAATATACCAAAAAAAAAAAAAAAGGATTAGAAACTGTAATTTTATAATCAAATTTAAAATGGTATTACAAAAGTGAAATACTTAGGCATGAAGCTAACAAAATATGTTTAAGATGTGTATGCGTAAATATAGAAAACCTTGTTGAAAGAAATCAAAGACCTAAGTCAATGGGAATATACCCCACGTTCATGGATCGGAAGACTCAATGTTGTTAAGACATCAATTCTTTCCAAATTGATCCCAATTGATATCCCAGCACGGGCTTTCTTGGTAGCAAATGACAAGCTGATTTTAAATTGTATATAGAAACGCAAAAGTAAAGTCCAGAAATAAAGCCAAACATAGATGGCCAATTGATTTTTGATAAATATGCCAAGGTAATTCAATGGGGAAAGGATAGTCTCTTCAACAAATGGTGTTGGGACAACAGGAGATCCATATGGAAAAAAACTGATCTTTGATTCTTACTTCATACCACACAAAAAATTAACTCAAAGTAGTTCACAGACCTAAACACAAAAAATAACACTATAGAAGTCCTAGAAGAAAATATTTGTGACCTTGGGATGGGCAAAGATTTTTTAAATAGGTCACCAAAAAAAAGTATAAATCATTAAAGAAAAAATGATACATTTAGACTTCATCAAAATTAAAACCTACTCTTCAACATTTATTGTTAAGAATATGAAAAGGCAAACCACAGACTGAGAGAAAATACTGTCATACATATACCACACCCCATGAAGGACTTTATCCCAAATGACAACTCAATAATAAGAAGACAAATCACCCAATTTAGAACTAGGGAAAGATCTGAACAGTCAATTCATGAAAGAAGACATACAAATGGCCACAAAGCGCATGAAAAGACATTCTGCTCATCAAGGAAATGCAAATTAAATCCATAATGAGACACTACTACATACTCACGGGAGTGGTTAAAATAAAGACTGCCAATACCAAGTGTCGAGAGGACGTGGAGCAGCCGTAACTCTTACATACTGCTGGTGGGAGTGCAAAATGGTGCAGCTGCGTTGGAAAGCAGGGTGTCGGTTAAACATAAGAGTAAATATATACTTACCACACAACTCAGCAAGCCCATTCTAGAAACTTCCATGAGAAATGAAAACACATGTCAACACAAAGACTTCTACATGAATGTCCATGGCAGCTTTATTCACAGCAGCCCCAAACTGGAAACAACCCAAGTGTCCATCAACAAGTGGACCGATAAACAAATTGTAATATAAGCATACAACGACCTAATACTCAGCAAGAAAAGGTCAAGAACTATTGCTACACGGGACAGCACAGGTGAGCCTCACAGATTTACACTGCGGGAAAGAAGATGGACACAAAGTAGGTAGTGCAGGTGGTTGCCATGAAACTAGAAAAGACAAAGCTAATCTACAGCAAGGAAAATGA